TCGGTCGGCTCGTGGCGCTGCGGCTGCGGCAGCGAGGGGATCCAGGGGAGCCGGGGGGTCCCGGAGGACTCGGGTGTGGAGCGGGAGGGCCCGGCGAGGCACGGGCTGGGAACTGCGCCACGCTGCCTCACCGCCGTCCGGGGTCACCGAGGTGTCTGCATAGACCCACCCCACCCACCCACCCCCCGAGCCGGGCGGGCTTCCTCCACGTCTGCGGAGAGGTCGCCCGGCCCTGCACCGGGACCCTCGGCGGCTGCCGACCGCTTCGAAGGAACCACCCCCTCCCCGGACGCTGTTTACCTGCCCACCCTGCCCCCATTCGGCTTTCCCACGCCCCCAGAGTCCTGATTTCTTAGTGTTCCTAATTCACAGCACTGGTGTCATTTCCCGGGATTAGGAAATAATCAGAGGACTGGTCTGCTTCCACCATCCATGTCGTGCATACGTGTTCTCATAGGAGCGTGATTCCCATTTCTGTTCCCCCAAAGTTTCCCGACGTGGAAGCCTGGTGTTTTCTCCTCCGGAAATAGACTAACTAGATCATGCCTGTTATTCTTCAGCCAAGGTTAGAGCCTACCGGGGACATTTCAGCGCTGTCATCAGACATACAGCCCCCTCTGTCAGCACACTTGCAGGTATGCGCACAGCCACTGTGCAGCCCAGTAACACAATGCAGCAAAAACAAGTCGCTGAAGAGCCAAGGCACCTGCTGCTGCCCGTGGGGTCCTTTGAGGGGGGGGGGGTGTGATCTTGGATTTTGAGAGAGAGTTCCCTCCAAAATGCTCATGGGAGATCCTACTTCTGATACAGCCAAACTGGGTCATAGCATTTCTGTTACACGCCCCCCACCCCGCAGAACTGCCATCTGTGATCGTCCTCCAAAACGTGATTATTTTATATTCCTTCCCCACACCCGTTTTCCATGGCCATGCCGGTAATGAATCACTTTTACATTTCGGTAATACAAAAGCGAGGAAGAACTAGACACGAAGGCCTAGACATGAAGGCTGAGGTTAAAGTTGCCGTGGTTCACAGAATATTGTGAACCTTTTCTGAAATGTGCACTTTCCAAGTCCATTCTTGCCAAGCATAAATAAGGACAGCCTTGTTTTCAATGTGTTCTAGACATGTGAGTGATATTTAAATAGGTTCAGACGAAAGGTGAATCATTTCCAGCCATGGCAGCTACAGGTGTCTGATCTGCAATTGTACAAGTAAATTGTAAATGTGAAATGTAACCCTAAACTAGGTCGTCTTATTTGATATTATTCGTTACTGTTGTTTCATTGCCGTTAGTGTTTACACTTTTTTTTCTACACATTTGAAGGAACGTGTTAGATAGTAAAGGACAGTTTTATACCGTCCGTAATTATCTATCTATCTAGGTCAAGACCTGTTCTTCAGCCAACAAGTTTTTCATCAGATGAAATCTGCACGTTTTTAACAATTTCATTTGTCCATGAGAGAAAGTAATAAAGATGAGCACACACAGGCCAGATGGTTCAGCAAGAAAAAGCACCTGCTGCCAAGCCTGACAACCTGGGTTCCAGCCCCGGGGCCAGCATAAGAGAAGCAGAGAATCCAGGCCCCGCTCATTGTCCTCGAACCTCCACGCTCCTGCGGTGGCATGCATGCACGTGCACATACACGTATACAATGTAATTTTTTTTTTTTTTTTTTTTGGTTTTTCGAGACAGGGTTTCTCTGTGTAGCTTTGCGCCTTTCCTGGGACTCACTTGGTAGCCCAGGCTGGCCTCGAACTCACAGAGATCCGCCTGGCTCTGCCTCCCGAGTGCTGGGATTAAAGGCGTGCGCCACCACCGCCCGGCAACAATGTAATTTTTTTAAAGTCTAAAAATAAGTGAGAGGAAAGTAAAACCTGTCAGTTCTCTTTAAGGGTCTAACTGGTGATAGGAGTGCATGAACTGCAGGTGCTGTTTTTTATAGGGCTTGGAAAGGGATACAGCATGGCCAAAGACACTCTGCCCACTGAGCCACACCACCACCCCCAGCCTTAAACACAATTTTTAACAAAGGATTCAAGCTGCCTGTCCTCTCTACCTATTCTATTAGCACGTGGGTACCACCCACAGACCAGGGGACTGAAACTTATTAAAAAACCTTTCCAAATTATTTAGAGGGTAGAGGAGAGGACTTATTTTTTTAAAAGCACAAAGGGAAGGAAGAAGGGTGAACCCAATCAATTTTGCTTGAATAATTCAAGCTTAGGGACTTAATAATTAACTAAACACTAAACACATTGTGCGGGTGTTATTTTAAATGTTCCAGTTGAAGTGTGAACGTGCTTGTTAATGAAACTGAGCTCAAGCCAAAGAAAGGGGCAGCCCCAGAGGTGGCGCAGCCCTTGAAGTGCCACAGCGAGACACAGGCTGTCTGGCAGGGTGCTCTTTGGGAAAAGAGCCTGGGGGAAGGACTTTGTGAAATTCAGCTCAAGAATCAGAGGTTAAATGTATCCCACAGCACACACCCAGTCCTGCTGAAATAACCAGAGAGTTTTAGGAAAGGGTTGAGAATTTACCCTGCATTCAGAAAAGACAAGACAGGCAGGAGACAGGACCGTGGGATGGTAGGTTAAGAAAGGACGGAAGCGATTAAACAGTCCCCAATGTAAGCTTTCCAATTAATTCTCCAATTCAGGGCTAAGAATAAAAAAAAAAAAAAGTCATGTACCAATTAACATTTATAACAACCAGCCCTATGCCTCACTTGGTCCATCTTACTCAAGAGTAGTTTCAATAATGGAGAACAGGGCCTGGGGAGACAGCCCTGTGGACAAAGTACTTGCCACGCAAGCAGGAGGACTTGTGTTCGATTCCCCGGAACCCCTAAAGAAAGGGAAGCACAGCCAGAGGCGCTTGGAACCTCTGCACTAGGGAAGCAGCGTCGGACAGGCCCCCGGGGCTCCCTGGTCGGCCAAACTATCCCACTTGTCGGGGTCCACGCGAGTCCGCCTGTACAGTCTCACATGGATGTACGCCTGCACACGTGGACCACACACATTAATGACTAATAGCGGGGTCAAAAGCAAGGTTCCTCCATAGTAGGACTTCATGCGACGCCAGACCTCCGTGTCTATGTCTGCAGTGTCAACCAGCCGCAGACAGACAATGTACTAACAACATACACACTTTTGTTTGTCAGTATTCCACAAATAACTCAGTATAATAACTAATTGCACACCATTTCTATTACATTAGGTATTTAAAATAACCTAGAGGTGTTCGAAAGTATGTCAGAGGACATGTGGAAGTTATATACAGATACTATACAAGGAACCTGAGTGGTCCTGAATTGGGCTGGGGTGGGGGCTGGAGTGAGGAGAGGTCCTAGAACCAATCTCCAGCAAATGCCAGGGAATAACTATAGTCCCTCCACCCTCGGCCATCTGCAAACCCACGAGCCCAGCTCTCGACCTGTGCCCTTGAACCTGCTTTGTGCATTAGCCGCCTTTCCTGGATAAGTGTGGCCAGCACCCCTCCCCAAAGAAACCCTCTTTACGGGGAATGGAGACTGTCCCAGGAAACCGGAACTGGACCGATGCAGAGATCAATGGACTGTGGAGACCCCAGGACCAACAGACACATCTACATCATCGATCCTGCATCTGTGGCTCAGGGAACACCTCCTCCGAGGGGGGGAGGGGAGTGGTAGATTGTAAGAATCAAAATACCAGGAAGTCTGCTGTGAAACAATCTCCCCTAGAAAGGGCTGTATAAACACCACTGGAACAGAGGCAATCCACGGACATGTGAGCAGGGAAGGGGGACATTTTTGTGGAGTCCCACCCCTAGACAGAGAACTACGGGCAACTAGTGACTGCTGGAAGAAGGAGAATTAGCCTCTCCCGGGACAAGCCCCTCTAGTGGTTGTCTGTTAGTGGCAGGGGGGCCACGGCACACACGTGGAAGTCACAGGACAGCTCTGTTCCAGGGTTTCGACTTTAAGTTTGATCCTCGACACTCATGTATAAAGCCCAGTGAGGTTACTCTTGGAGGCAGAAGCAGAAGAATCCAGAAACAGAGGAATCCCTGAGGCTCGCTGGCCAGCTAGTCTAGTCAA